AAGAGGAATGAAGTGATGGCGTTTGTAGGTAAACAGAAGGAGCTGGACACTCTCATGCTCAGTGACATAAGCCAATCCCCCCCCCAAAAAAAAAACCAAAGGCTGAGTGTCCTCTCTCTGATAGGCGGACGCTAACTGCATGCAGTCACTGCCGGAGGCGGGCAGCAGGTGGACACTAACAACAGTGCACAGCAGGTCCCTTCCTGCCTGCGGTGACAGACAGCATCTCCCCACCTCCTCTAAGCCCCCGGAACCCACAGGGGCCCCCTCCCAGCCCCGCGAGGCCAACAAGAAAATCATCAAACGGATCCTCAAAAACCCTACTTCTGCAGCCCGCAAAGAGACTCTGTAATACCGTTCCCACCCGTGACCCACATCCAGCTTACGGGGAGCCCAGCGCCGGCTCCTTTCACTCAGAGCAAACCTGAGAAATGACCGCAGCGTCCCCCAACCCCCGTCCAGCGTCTCAACAAGGATGGCGCAACCCACTGTGGACGGGAGGTTCTCTACCTCCCAGGGACTCACCGAGATGCTGGCTGGGGAGGGTCATTCAGGACCCTGGCCAGTCGCCGGCCACCTCACAGAGGGGGCCGCGGAAGCGCCAGTCCTCAAGATCGAGGACTCAGCTTGTGCAATGGCTTGCACACACGTCCACCCAGAACGCTGTCCACCACCATTTGACCCAAGTTCTCGCACTCCTCAGGTTATACCATGAGGACTTAAAATGGGCACTGTCCAGGGAACATGGCCACGTCCATGTTCACAGCAGCTCGATTCACAGTAGCTAAGCTACGGCCCCAACCTCGGAGCCCTTCAATACAAAAGTGGATAAAGAAACTGTGGTACGTATAGTAAGTGGAATATTACTCAGCCATGAAGAGGAATGAAGTGATGGCGTTTGTAGGTAAACGGACGGAGCTGGACACTCTCATGCTCAGTGACATAAGCCAATCCCCCCCCAAAAAAACCAAAGGCTGAATGTTCTCTCTGATTCAAAATAAGTCAAAAGAAAGCAACAGAGCCTGACCTTTGCTGTTGAGCGTCTCTTCTCTGATCTTGCGGATGACTTCTTGGGCTTTGGCGTCATTGTTCCCAGCTACAAGGGAAAAGGAAAGAAAAAAATTAAAAAAAAACATGCAAACCGTGAGTGACATGGCCTCCAACTTGCCATCCTCCTGCCTCAGCCTCCAGAGCCCCTGGGACCACACGAGATGAGACACGTGTCGGAGCTGACGGGGGAGCTTTGACGGACAGGTGACCAGAAGCTCTTGGGGGCCTTCAGAGGGGCAAGGTGGCCCGGGACACCAGCCAGAATCGTCGGAAGGGAAACCTCGGCCTCCATGAGCCGACCCGAACCTTTCCTCTCTCTAAGCTGCGGACCTCGGGTGTTTGCTCACGGCTCCGTCTCCGTCACCACTGAGACGCGGGAGCCCCGGCCACGGGATCCCAGGTCCTTTTACTGCTCAGGATGTGTCTGCTGCTTCGGGAGCTTCCTGGATAAATTTAGGGTAGGTGGACCATGGGAGCTATCCATCTCCTCACGGGGCATCCAACCCAAATGGATCCGCGTGCGGGAGGGACATGGGCTCTGCCATATGCATTTCAGCAAGGTGCAGAAGCCAGTGACCTCGGTGCCTATGGACCACGGACAGGCAGAAGTGGTTTGTGGGTGGAATACTATACAGCCATGCAAAGGGACGCTGCTCTGTCATTTCTCAGCAGCATGGGAGGATCCGGAGGGCCTTCCGCTAAGTGAAATACGCAAAGTACGGAAAGCCATTGGGCGGGATGTCCCGAGACTGTGTCACAGTAACGAGATGGCAGACGTTAAAAAGAAAAAAACAAATGTTAGGCGGGTGCACACGGCTCATCCCAGCAGCTTGGGAGGCTGAGGCAGGAGGATGGCAAGTTGGAGGCCAGCCTCAGCAACCGAGCGAGGCTGCAGGCAACTCGGCGAGACCCTGAAGCAGAACGTGCATCCGCACGTCCCAAGGGGCTCGCCGGCCTCCGGGTCTCCCTGTCCCTGAGTATCCACTCCCCAGGGTCGGCTCGACCTGACCGTTGGGTCCACCTGGAAGTGGCCGCCTACAAGAGAAACCCGGAGTCCCCTCCCCGGGGGACAAGAGAAGCGATCATAAAGGATCACCTATGATGACGTGCATGCCCAGCCTGGCCAGGTACTTGGTGGTGGCGTAACCGATGCCATCCGTGCCTCCCGTCACGATGGCCACGCGGTCCGGCTGCTGGCAGAAAACTGAGGAAGAAGCAGAAAAAACAAAAATGAGGTTTAAAAAGCAGCGTCCAAGCTGGGAGGGTAGTGCCCCCCTGTCATCCAGGTGCTGGGGAGGCTGAGGCCGGAGGATGGCAAGGTGGAGGCCAGCCTCAGCCACTCAGCGAGGCTCCGAGCAACTTGGCCAGAGCCTGTCTCTCAATGGAAATCGTCACCAAAAATGTCCCCGGAAGACGAGGGGGTTAAGAGAGGGTCACTCACGGTTGCCAAAGGAGGCTGGTCATGGCCTCTTGGGGAGGCACAGTGCTCAGACTCCAGAGTCTGGGGTGGAGGTGTCGCTCTGAAACCCAACCGTGGGCAGCCACAACCCTTCGTTGTCCACGCCCTGGAGCACCCAGCTGCACCTCCCCCAGGACCGGGATCCACGGGGAAGCAACGGGTCCCCACTTTGTCCCCGTCCTGAGCACGCCGGCCCTCTGGGAGTTGGGTGGGCCTCACCCAATCAGTCGACGACTCCACGAAACGGGGTCACAGCAGGGTGGGGCTCGCGCGAGCCGGCGAGCACTCACCATAAAGATGCACCATCTGCATGCAGTCGCGATGTGACCGTCCACAGAGTCAGTATGAAGGTGCAGCATTGGCATATGGCGTCACCGCGGCGTATTTAACACGATTTTATATAAAGGTGACGTTTGGGCAGACGATATGTCACAGGGAGTCATTGTCCCTGATACCAAGGCGCGACATTTGCATAGGAGAATCTCTACAATGGGGTGAAGTGGGTCATGGGAGACCCTCAGCACGATCACGGGGTGCGTCTGGGGTGCAATCCGCACGGGGGGGGGCAGGTTTGGCAAACGTGTCCATGACGTAACATGACGTAATACGCAGCAGGAGTGACGTCACGGCGCTCTTCTTGCCCGGGGGGACCTGGGACGCTGCTTCGGGGACTAGGACCCCGGGTCCCCGCGCAGATGGGGGGTGACTCTCCTTTTGCTGCTTCCGGCCCGAGAATGAGCGCATCCGCGAGTGCAGAACGTGCACCGCAGAGCACCGACTGTATTCCCCCGCGTGCGCCCGGGCGGGGGTCCACCGTGTGACCCCAGTGACACTCCCTGCACCTGCAGTGTCCCCCCGGGGGACAGCTCAGACCTCCCTGATGGGAACTGGGGGATGGGATGGGGGGAGGGGCGCACAGGTCAAAGCCGGACACAGGGCGCGGGGACTCGCAGGTCCCTACGCAGGACGCGCCAGGCCTGGGGAGCCACAGGGCAGCGGCGCCCTCCCCGGTCCCTCCCGGGCCTCCTGGCAGATTCCGTCACATTGTCCCCCGTCACATTGTCCCCCGGGCTAAAGCCTCGGCGCCTTTCCCGCCTTTAATCTTGGGTTAATCCCAACTCCCAGATGTCGGCTCCTGTCCAGGGAGATCAGGGGGGACCGGCCCTGGCCACCTCCCCCAGCCCAACCTGCAGCTGGTGTCCGGGGGACTTCAATCTGCAGGCTCTGCGCGCCCGCCCGCCCCCAGGACCGTGTGCAAAAGGATCCCCGGGCTGCATTGGCGCTGGAGGCGACCGTGCAACTGGACAGACAAGACACGCACCCATGGCCCCCCTCGCCCCACAGCTGGCGGGGGAAGCCCGGGCACGTCCCCTGCGAAGTTTAGAACCCGCTGAGGTCACGCTCCTGGGGCCAGAGGCTCAGCTGGGGGGCTGACCTCATGCCTTCGTGGAGGCCAGCCTCGACCTGGGCGAATTCCGGGCTCGGAGGGCTCCGCCCACCTGCTGCCCTTCCCGCCTCCCTCCTGTGTGTGGGAAAAGAGGCCTTTGTATCCACCTCCCCGCGTGCAAAGGAGCAGAAAAGGCACAAACAGCCCCCCCCCCCGGTGTGCAAAGAAAACACGGGCAGGGGACACGGTGTGCCGCCGGCCTTCTGTGTCATTCCAGGGGTCTAGAGGCTGAGGCAGGAGGACGGCAAGTTGGAGGCCAGCCTCTGCAACTTAGAAACCCCACTTTTCAAAATAAATAATAATAATAATAATAATGGTCGCCATTGGTGGCTCTGTGTCTGTTGGATTCCTCGGCGCATCTGCTGACCTCAGCGCTGGACACGCAACCCAGGCCCGAGAGACCCTCAGAGACCCCTGTGAACTGTTTGCCACGTTTCCACCAAAAGAAAGAAAGAAAGAAAGAAAAATTCCAATAGCAACGCCTCGGGCAGGAACCCGCATGAAATGCACAGACCAGACGTCCGTCCTGTGCGTGCACAAAGTCCCTGGGGACAGGTGCTTTAAGCAGCTGCTTCTGAGACACAAAGAAAGCAGGAGGGGGGCGGAGGCCCAGGCGCAGCGTTTGCAGAGCCTCCTCCGCGGTCGACCTCTGCAGCCAGAGCCCAGCCGCTGACCCCCAGCAGGCCTCCTGACCCCCACCAGCCTCGCTCCAAAGCCCCCTGAGGCCCCTGGACGCTCCGCTCCGCCGGCAGGAGCTGTGGGCCTTGCACCTGCCCGCGGCGGGCTCTGGGCATGTGCAGGAGAAAGAAGAGTCTGAGGTCCGGGAGGCCCGCACCACCGCCACCGCCTTTGCCAGCTACTGGCTGCTTCCGGTTGCTGGATGTGTGGTTGGTTTTATTTTATTTTATTTTTCCGTGTCCCTTGGCAGGGCAGGTCGGCATTTGCAAGTGACAACTGAGAACTACCCAGAAAAATGCTAGAAAAAAAAAAATACTTAAATGATTTTTTTTTTTTTTTTTGAGAACTTCACGGATCCCTAAGAGTCTCCTGTCACAGTCACGTCGGGGCCGGATAGATTTGTCACAGGGGGAAAGGAAGGGGGAAGAGCTTCCTCTGGATCCCTGGTGCAGCCTGAGTCCCCCCAACCTGTGTCCCCAAGCCTCTACGTACCGTCACCTGAGGTTTTTTTTTGGGGGCACCAGGGATTGGACCCAGGGACACGTAACCACCGAGCCACGACGTCCCCAGCCCTTTTTATATCTCAGTTTTAGAAATAGTTGTTGCTAAGCTGCCTAGAGTCTTGCTTGTGCAGAGGCTGGCCTCCAACTGGCGATCCTCCTGCCTCAGCCTCCCGAGCTGCTGGGATTATAGGCGTGGATCCACCACGGCCAGTCCCAAGTTCCCCTTGAAAGGACCCCAAACCCCCAAATGTCCCCCGATCCCTCTCAAGGTGGCCTGCGCTCTGCCCCACAGAGAGCCCCTCTGGATTTCCTGAATAAATCTCCGTGCATCGACAAGTGACCGGTGCCCACATGAGGTCCCCCTGTTGGGGACCTCCTTGGGCGACTGCACCCACCGGGTCCCATAGGTATCTGACACCAAAGAGAGAAAGAGAACAGAAAAACGCAAAAAAAAAAAATCCCCATCTGAACTCGAAGCTGCAAGACCCCAGGGTGAGACCTGAGCTGTGAGTGGCCAGTTCAGGTGTCCTTTAAGGCCAGCGAGCACGGCCACCCCTCCCGAGGCCAGCCTGTGGGCAGACCCGAGGGTCCCGGGGACGGACGCACGCGCAGCAGACGAGCCCAGGAGCAGCGGGGGCTTTGCGTCTCTGATTTATTGAGCAGAAGCCAAGGTCGGAGCTTCCAGGAAGGCAAGGAGAAACCGGCAAGAAGCGCAAAATCCCGACATGGTCGCGACGCTGTCCACCCGGCCCCGCCCAGCCCGGCACCCTGGGTGCTCCCAACTTGCACAAGGAGCTGGGCGCCTCTGGACCCTTCCCGTAAGCCAGTTCCGAAAATAAATAAGTTTTATTTTTATTTTATTTTTTTTTTTGCAAATTAAATCTCCCCCATGAGCTTGAGTTTTTTTTTTTTTAAAGAATTCAAACGTCTTCTCCCGTCCAAGAACCTCAACTTCCCACCTCCATGCCGGGAAGCCGGCCTCAAGCAGGTTTAAACAAAAGCAGAAAAAGAAAAAAAAAAATAGGGGTCTTTGACTGCCCCCCCCCCAAAAAAACCCCTAAAAACAGCTCACCTCGGCTCATGCATCACAAATAAAACCCAGAACCGCCAGATGCACGAACTCCCCGGCTTGCAAGTGGCTTGAAAAGCGGGAATGCTTATCATCGCAGCAGCCCCGGAGGCTGAGGCCGGAGGATCTCGAGTTCAAAGCCGGCCTCTGCCAAAGGGAGGCCCTGAGCCGCTCAGGGAGACCCTGTCCCTAAATAAAATGCCAAATAGGGCTGGGGACCGGGCTCAGGGGTCAAGTGCCCCTCTGGGTTCAACCCCTGGACTCTGTGGTCTCCCCGACGGAGAGCAACACCGTGCAGAGTCCCCGGGGAGAGAAAATCCTCAGGGCTTTGACGGACAGGTGACGCTCTGCTCGGTGGCACTCGGCCCCCCACCCAGATCGGGATGGAACTTTCCAGACTGACTCAGAACCCTCTCTGGAGACACCCACGGTCACTTCTTGGGAAGGAACAGGCAGAGAGGGAGGGGAAGGAGGTTCATGCAGAAGCCGGTGTTGCCTGAGGTCCCCCACCCTGTGTCCCCAAGCCTCACCCCACTGCCACCTGGTTTTTTCTTGGGGGGGGGAGGGGACCAGGGGTTGAACCCAGGGACAGTGAACCCTGAGCCATGTCCCCAGCCCTTTTTATATTTCCGCCTTAGAAATAGGGCTGCGGAGGGCCTCGCTGGTTGCAGAGGCTGGCCTCCAACTGGCGATCCTCCTGCCTCAGCCTCCCAAGCTGCTGGGATGATAGGCCCTGACCACCGTGTCCAGTTCTTGGGGGGGGGAAAATCAAGCTGTGGCCTTTGGTTTGTGGAAGGTGACCGAGGACAGGGCGCGAGTCTCTCTGCGCCCCTGGGCACCCCCAGCCGCGTGCGTCCTTCCTTCTCGGCTCTTGATGGTCCAGTGTCCACGGACAGCGACCCCTAGAGGAAGCCCCCGTCCCTGAGCCCGAAGAAGCCGCCGCTGGCCGGGTCCCCGAGCGGGAACAGCTGCTCCTGGTCCAGCCCCCACTCGCCCTCATCCTCGTCCTCGGGCTCGGCCTCCACGGAGGCAGCGGAGGCCCGTCCGTTCTCGTAGAGGAACACCTGCTGGTCCACGTGCGCGGGGGCCAGGCGGTTGCGCTTGGCGCTGACCACGTTGGCGGCGGAGCCGAAGAGGCGCTCCGGGGGGACGCGCGTGGCGGCCACGCACCAGTACTTCTGCAGGACCTGGGGCAGCACGGGGAAGAGCGCCAGGCGGTCTGACCACCACTTGAGCGGGTCCTCGTGCAGGCCCAGGACCTTCTGCGACTTGAAGTTGCTCAGCTCCTCCAGCAGCTGCGCCGTCACCTCCTCCTGGTCCTCGGCGCCGGCCGCCGGGCAGAAGATCTCGGCCAGCAGGCTGTGGATGGCGCTGGCCGGACGCTTGGCCGGAGGCTCCTCCGGCCCCGCGCACGGCTTGTCCTCGGCGGGCAGCGGCGGCGGGGGCGCGGGGCAGCCGCCGTCCTTGGCCCTGTCCAGGAGACTCTTGGCCTCCTGCACCACGCGGTTCTCCACCTGCTGCCTCTCGAAGGCCGACAGGAAGGGCAGCCTCTTGTAGCGCGGGTCCAGGAAGGTGGCCACGTTGAGGAACAGGTCCGTCTCGGGCGCCTCCTGGTAGGTGCGGGTCAGCTCCTTGGCCATCACCTCCTTGGCCATGCTGAGGTCCTTGGGGTCGCCGTCCTTGGCGTGCAGCGTCGTGTTGAGCAGCATGTGCAGCAGCGGCTTGACCATGCTGATGGTCGGGTGCCGCGCCGCGGCCAGCACCTCGGCCACCTGCTTGAAGGGCTGCAGCAGCTCCACGAGGCCGTCGATGGTCGCCCACTCGGCCGCCTCGAGCATCAGGTGGTGGTTGTTGCTGTCCTCCACCAGGACGCCCGCGATGGCGAACTGCTGCTCCCGCAGCCGCTGCAGCATGGCCAGCGTGCTGCCCCAGCCGGCCACCCGGTTGCTGACCAGCATGCCGCGCGCGGCGCCCTGCAGCCTCTGCTTCTCGGCCAGCATGTACCTGGCCACCGACGACTGCTGGAAGTAGGCCACCAGGCGGCGACAGCGCGCCAGCAGCGCGGCCAGCTTGGGCAGCCGGAAGGCCTGCTGGATGGCCGCGTCGAAGGCGCGGCCCAGGCACGGCATGTGCACGGGGATGTCCAGCAGCGAGCAGGCCTGCGCCACGTCCTTGCCGCCGTCGGTGGTGGCGCCGGACACCTTGGCGCTGACGCCCCACTCGATGAAGGTCTCGTAGAGGACGCGCGTGATGGTCTCGGCCGCGTTCTCCTCGGGCACCTCAAACGTCTTCAGGCACCGCGAGGCCACCGACAGGCAGTTGGGCGACGCCAGGCCCAGGAAGTGCGCGGCCAGGGTCACGTAGGCGCGGTTCTGGTTGTCGCTGCGCCACAGCTCGGTGGACACGCCGCACCACGCGGCCTCCGCCAGCTCCTTGCGCACGGCCTCGCGCACCGCCCCGTAGCGCGCGGGCAGCGCCCGGCTGCCGAAGAAGCGGGCGCTGGGCAGCTCGTAGCGGGGCTCGGCCGCCCGCAGCAGCGCGCGGAACGCGGGCTCGTCCACGGTGGACGCGGGGAAGAGGCCCTCGCACAGCAGCGCCAGCACCGCGCCCG